TTTTTTTAGGCCAATTTAGATTGTTCTTCCTCGAAACCTTAGACCCGCAGGATTATCGAGAATTTTGATTTCAGTGTTACAACCTTTCAATGCGGATTTCTGGTTACATTGTTTGTCCTTCTGTTGAGCTTGAATAATCTCAAACTACACAAAACGTTAGAAGTGAAAAACCATTTTATACAAGAAAAATTAATACTTCGGTTAACTTTTAATCCTGCAGCGTTAACCGGCTTTCAAACAACCGGGCCGAGGGGCTCATTTCTCGAAGGTCCCGAAAAGTTTCCGCACCTGGAAAACCGTAGCAAAATCTCAAACCTTATGATTCCAGGGCTGTTTTATTTAGTCACATATTCTTAATATGACCGGAAGTTCCCTTCATACAAGAAGTTTCAGGCGTATACACCCGGTCTCTTTTGTTAGATACAAATTAACTAAGAATGGTTTTGCGGACTCCAAAGGTTTCCGGGCCTTTCGAGAAACAGGCCTCTGATTACATAAGTGTAAAGAAAATCGAATGAAAATGTCACAAGTTCACATAAATTTTTAGTATAATTTCAGAGCTGAACAAAGAGTTTCCAGCAATCTGATTGGCTAAGCGATTCCTTATATGACGCTATATTCAACGCGGCAGGCGGTGAATATAACATCTTCGAGGCCTGGTTACTAGCCCCGCTACCTTTGCTATCTCAGCAAGTAAACATGGCGGACAGTTGCTGAATGAATTTTTCATTTATTCCGCGGACGACATCACTCTACATCCAGGATATTTGAAAGGATGGAGAATTTTCAAAATGAGTGCTGTCGCCCTTGGACCAAAAATCCTTTCAAGAACTCGTCGTATTCAAGGAATTTAAGAATCGTAAACGCAGTGGTTACGTTGATCGCCAGCAGGTCAGATCGATTGGCCGAAATTTATTTTTATTCAGACTAAAGCTACTCATTTTTATACGATGATGACAACTGTGAATGAAGTCAACAACGATAAAACAAAGGTACCGGATGAATTTATTTTCGTAGTGTTTCGCTGGTTTGTTAGTTTTACTGCCGAACTCGATGGGTAAATTGATTCACAATCGATGTACATGTAAGTTTTTTAATAACACTACGGCTGCATACGTGTATGATGAAACGAACAACTGCGTCTGTGTTTTTATGTTTTAGTCCGTTATCCTGTAGTCCTCTTTGTTCAGCTCTGAATATTATACTAAAACAATTATTCACCTCAGACTCAGTGAACATTGGTGACTGTTATACCTCCTAACTCAAACACGTTTTAGGATTTGAGAAGAACGCGTCACGTGTCGTGGGTCAAAACTCACTAACTCCCTAAGGCGAACAAAACTCACTAACTCCCTAGGGAAACAATAACTTGAACTTTCGACTCGCACGAGATCAGGTCGTGCTCCTTGAAACCGTGGTAAATTTGTGAGACAGCCTGCGTCAAGCAAGCGATTTCTTCACATTTTTTTTCTATTTTTGAGTTGGGAGGTATAACAAAACACTTAATGGACTGGTCGCCGAAAAATTGTGTAATTGTTAAATATACCGTAAATCTATGTACAACAAACCCCTTGCTCTACGAATTTAAAACGATTGCATCTATGGGGGCAATAGCCACTACCGTTTGTGTCACTGGAGGAAATGTTTCTTTAATTATGGTCCCAGTGACGTACACCTGTGCCCGGATGTAGTGCATTCGATGCTCTGACTTCGCATGGTCCAAAATTACGATTGTTTCACACTTGAAAGCACTCATCACTGTACTTTCGCTTACTTTAGGTGTTCGAAGATATTAGATATTACAAGTAAAATTATCTACCTGTTTGTTTTAACGAGTATAGAACCACAAAATCTTTCCCGCCCACATCGTTCTTGCAGAGGCCTAGAGATGCTTCTTGATCGTTATATTCTTCGTTGAGATCATGCCCTCCTTTACACAGACCGCCTTCAAAGAGGGCGAATTCCGTGAAATCTTGTTTTCGAGCTGCCTGAGCGCATTGGTCCACCGCCGAATAGGAATTGGAGGAGAACGTCCCAAGATAAACTCCAGTTTTTGCGGTCTTGGCGCTAAAACAACCCTCTTTTTGGTACAATGGAGAATCTAGGAGAAAGTACGGAAAAAAAGTTTAATTTCAAGACTTTGTGTGAGAAAACAAAGACAAAAATCAAATTTGCTCTATAGTTTTATGTGCTAGATATCATTTTTGTGTGTAGTTTACCTCTTTATTTTTAACTTTGGCGAAACACAAGCTAAGGCGAGAATCAGAAGCACGACGCTTGTCTCTCAAATGCTTTAGAACGCTATTTTAGGCTATCTGGAGTGCTTTAAAGCTCTGAAGATTAGTTTTACGAGGCACTAAACATTTTTTTTCTGTCATCCTCGAATTTATAAGGGCTTTTTTGTCCATCTCCTGAAAACCTTCGTTCTTATTGTCTCTCCGAAAATCATCTGACTTTTTCTGGTACTCAAAACGACATTTTCATCAATTTGAAAACAACAGGCATTAAATTTCTCTTATCACGTACTTAAAGTTCGAGGGGACAATTCTCTTAACAAAATCGGAGAGGATTAATCCCCTTCAGAACAGATAGTTTCCCGAAATGATTCTTGGGTGCCCCCGGTTGATTGTGGCAGAGTACTAAGTATGCAATCTTTGAAAAAGATGGGATCCAAAGTCTAACTTGACAAACAAAGAGTTCGAACACCAACAGAATGGTTTACAAATTTGCCCTTTATCGTTCAATTGTTCAGTGTGAGCCTTTGCAGGTGGGTCTCATACAATCTAGTGAGTTTGATAAAATGAACATTAGTCATGGTGACGGAAACAAGAGGTATTCTTTAAGGCTCAAACAACAGCAAGGCCTTCCCACAGAAAACGGGGGCTGAAATCAACAAGAAAAAAAAAAAACGTTCTTTATCATTTCTGTTCGTAAGTTGTTCAACCGAATATTGCAATATGTTGTGATCAAAAACTCTCAGAGAAATATTTTCATATTTTATCTTCAGATCGATTGATTATTTTTTGCGAACCGGCTCAATGGGCGGGAACGAAGTTCAGCATATAATCCTTTGGAAATGAAGAAACGTTTAAACCGGCATAATCTAAATTTTTGTCGCCTTTCAAAGTCTACTGTTTTAACTGTCGCAGACGATGTTTTCAAATATTCAAAAACTTTACCAAAACAAACACAGCTACAAACAGACTCTCAATCCAGCCTTCTTCTTCTTTTCAATCCAGCCGACACAATTTCTTCCCACTTTGTAAACCTGCTACCGTTTTGGCTGAAACGATCGAGTACATATTTCGATAAAAATTCTGTCTTATTCCCTGCACTGATATTTTCTGAATATATCGAAGATTATTAGGTGCAAAGCTTCTATGTTATTGATACAGAGGAACAACGCTTTATTAGGTTTTTCAATTTTGCCTGAGTCGTTTGAATACGTTTCAAACTAGCCACGTAACAGCATGGAAAACAGAGACGTTTGTATAATCCTTTGAATACGATAGGTTTGGTGATGCACTGAGGAAGTTTTAGAATGGTCAACAGACGAATTGATATTGTTAAAGAAGATCAATCTATCCTTTACCGGAGACTAAATCCCAGAAATCTTCAAACTACTGACGCGCGAAAATTAAAGATGACACATGCAAAAACAGACCTGTTTTCACAGCGTGCACACCTTTGAAAGGGATAATTCTTGCTTAGTTCTTCAACATTTCTAGACACGTAGCTGTCAAAATAAGCAGGTTTTGTTACTTGATTTACATCAGTTGTATCAATGAGAGCGGTTAGATTTAAGCCCGGTCTCAGTAATTGAACGCGAGTAATATGGATAAGTCGGCGGGAGGAGATTGCTGCTTGGTTGGCGAGTTCGCGAAGCGTTTTCTTCTGATCTTCTGGTCCTAGAATGGGCGACCACACCACTCTTAAATAATATTTGCAGGTAATCAAAACTGGTAGTGCCTTACCTGAAGTTTTAAATGCCCTTTTGTGCTCTAAATCTGTTGCATCAGTTGGTTTTGGCGAGAGGGATGCCAAGATGAAGAATAAAATAGTCACCCTTAACATGATGAACAATTCCAGTTCTGAGGAAAAGACTTTTAATGAGGATGTTTGCTCTCCAGCCGAAACTTATTTCTCCGGTGACAACCTGCCTCGACAGAAGATCCCAGTAAGATTAAAAATAAACAATTCGTTATTTTAATTTGTTATGAAACCAAGTCACAGCGGGAGTCTAACAAGAAGCTTTGATGATCAATCGGTTAGCTTAAAGAGTATATGCATATTTGCAGGCCCTAGATACGAAACGAAAAAAGCTTTACCTGTATTCGAATCACAGTTTTAATTCAAAGGACGTTTCTATGGATACGATCGACTTCAAGGGCTTTTTACTTAACTTAAAAGATCAAATGTAATTCTCCGTTTCCATCACTTCAATGTCATCTGACTGTTAACTTTGTCATGCAATTTGTGCCTGCTAATTTTGTCAAAGGTGGGTTAAATGCAGTACAAAAGTTTTGACGCTTATGTAATTAATGAGCGAAAAACATTGCCTTACGGGTAAAAGAGATCAATCCAGCCACCTTTATTAGCCGTTTCTTCGCCTCCTATTTCCCTCCGATTCCATTTTGTTTTTGCTAGAATCTCAACCAAAACATTAAATCTGAAATCTTTTAAAATAATCGAGTCTATGTTTTGTTGACTTACTTCAAGGTCAAAAAGTCACCCGAACTAACAGAACGCTCTTTTCTTTTCATCTAATAGGAGTCTGTTACAGAATTGCAAGTGACTTTGGCTCACGATTTTGAGCCATAGATATTTATTTTCCGTTCCTGACTGTAAAACAAACGTTTTCTCCGTCGTTTTAAATTCAAGTGTTTTTGGGTTCGAGCAGGAAGTTGTGAAGGATAAATCCGGAAAGAAAACATTATTTTTCTCTGTTGACCTGAAGTGGAACACATTATTGACTTAACATCTAATAATGTGCTGCAGGTGCTGTCAGTAATAAAATGGAAGAAAAAGCAAGCTGGCTTCTCGTGTGTTCAGTCTAGCCGGAGTACAGAAGTCCACAATGCGACTACTGAATGGATAATTCTCTCTGTAGGACTAACCTGCTGAGAGTTCATGGTAATTGTATTCATCAAAACACTGAAATATCCAGTCCAAGATGATGACTACAACTACTATGATTCTCTCCTAGAGGGGATTAGGAATTCCCGGGGCCTTAGCCTAGCCTCTACAAACTGACCTCCGTCTTAAATGCTGGGATTCTAAATTTCGGCGGAACAATTAGCTGGGAACCGGTATTTTCCTTGGAAATTCTTAGCTGTTTTCATGAAAAAGCTTCATCTAAGGAAAACGCATTTCAACGAATTCGTGAACATCTTAAGTGATAAATGTAATTTCTGACGGTTGTGGTCAGATATTAAAATATTCTGACGGCAAGGTGAAGAGGCTCGCGGGCTGTCAAGGGCTGCTTACGCAATAGCAAGCATTTAGTTGGAGATTTAGGTCATTCTAGGTCGCTCATTCTTCTTGCTCGCCACTTGTTTCTTGAATGAATTTTTGTTTAAACAGATTGTTGAGTGATGGTATTTTGTGCCATTTCCTCGGGGTTCGCGCTGCTGGATTAGATGAGGAATACGTTTCCACGTATTTTTGGCCACATTTTAAGAGTGTTTTTTTTAGTGGGTTTCAACCCTTAGAACCACAGTTGTAATTTGTGAGGATACAGATTTTGCTATTAGAACACACTTGCATCAGTTGACTTACGGACGCATTCACATGAAACTTTTCAAAGTGAATGTCTCGTATAAGCTTAAGCATAACCAGCTTGTGCAGTAAAATTGCATTCGTTTAAGTCAACATAGAGACGTTTCGGGAAAAGCCCCTTCAAATGAAGCAAATGAAGCGTTTAAAAACCATGTGCAGTAAACTGCTGGTAAGAAAATGTTCCTGACAAAAGGCACTTCTTAGCAGCACCTTAGTGCGCCTGCATATGTCGCTTATGCGAGTTTTGCGAGTATGTTATAGCGCCTGGGCTCTCTCCTCCGCAGAGGCGACGCAGAGGCGCAGAAGTTCAAGTGGAGAGAATCCGCTGAACGTTATGAGTGCAGGCTCAGGGTTATTTGACTTTGCGCTTACACTCACCTCACACAGCGGCTTTCTATAACGAACGTTTCGAATCGCTGTGGAGGAGAGAGGCACCCGGTCGTTTTTACTCTTCGCGTATTCACAATGGCGACAATGTGGTACATTTTATGATTCTTTAAATAAAACAATGTATTTCTCTATTTTTTTCAGCTTTTCACTTACAAATTTGTGGCTGGCTGTGATATTCTTAACAGTCAATAAAAGTGCGTCACTGAAATCCACTGATAAATATGTTTAATTTATAATCCATCAGTTTTGAACCTATCATGTCGTTGTCCGTTAAGCTTACTACGTTATAATCAGGCTTGCTTCATTGTTATGTTTCTAGTTTTGGCTTATGAGATCTTTTACAGATGCTATGTACACCAGTAGCATTTTCGTTTGCGGCCCATTGCATCATTGTATTTATATTGAATACATTAGCTCGCGTGCTAATGTATTCAAAACGCGACTGAATATCCGAGTGATATTCCCCAATTTTCAAAACTGTTCTCTGATAAAGCACGCTAAAATAAGCCAATCAGAATCCTTGTTAGAATTGTTCAAATAATTTGATTGGCTAACGAAGCGACAGCTGTCAATCACAAACTGGCCTTCAGCTAAGCTTTCAGTTTCGAGTAGTTTGAGCGGCTTTCGAGAGAAGAACGATGC